TATGCTGGCCCCGCCTCCTGCCCGCGCGCATGCGCACACTACATTTGTTCCACCTCCCTCTTTGCATGTGGGTGTGTACATCTTCTCTGCCAGACTTTGAACTCCTGGCGGGTGGGGACTGTGGCTCCTTTACCTTTGTCCTTCTCATGCCACAGGGCTGGACACATATTGGATGCTAAATACACGTTGTCTTGAAGACCTGGTGATGAAGGAATACCATGGTATAAGCAGGTGGTGAAAAATGACACTCCATCAGGAGAGCCCTGTGTATAGGGACGAGGGTTAGGAGGCCAGGTTTCCATGATCTCCACGTACTGTCTGGTTCTGTTTCTTCTAATGACCAAGCGCAAGTCTCACTGTCCCCGCCTGCCACTTCTATCCATTCCAAAGGGCAGGCGCACCAGGGTGGGCAGAGTCAAGCCTAAATATAGTCAATCTTCTAGCAGAGTGGTTCTTAGACTATAGAGTGTACCAGAATCACCTGGAGCGCTTGTTGAAGCAGAGATTTCTGGCTGCACCCCCAGAGTTTCTGATTCAGTAGGTCTGGGGTGGAGCCCAAGAATATGCATCTCTAACAACTTCCCAGGTGATGCTGATGGTGCTGGTCTGGGGACTACTCCTTGAGAATTTCTTTTCTAGCAAAAGGATTTGCTATAAAAATAATTACTCTCTATGGTGTTGGGAAAGGAGATACAGGAAGCTTTTTGCTTGGGTTTGGTTCTATAGGTTTAAAGACCTATTAGTATGAGATTAATGTGGATAGGTGGATCAGATTCTACACGCTTCCCTCCTCCCCCATCTCCTGGCTTTCCCACAAAGTGTTTCCGTGTTCATTCATCAGCTATTCAACGAATATGTTTTGAAGGTGTAATACGTGCATGGCAACATATGAGGCAGAGTTGTTGCTGTTAAGATGAAATTAGTATGAAACCGTCCTGAAGAGAAGTCCTCTGGTATAGACGTAACTATAATTCAAGAGATCAAAGAAGAAATGCCCACTCAGATGGGTAGTTCTTTGCCCAATCAGCGGAATTGTCCCAGGCATCTAGTTTTAGTGGGGATAAAACAATTTTATAGTGAGACCACATGACTGTGAAGATCCTGAAATTCTGGGGGCACCTGAGTGGTTCAGTCAGTTAAGCGTCTGACTTCAGCTCAGGTCATGATCTCATATGGGCTTGAGCCCCATGTCGGGCTCTGTACTGACAACTCAGAGCCTCTGGAGTCTGCTTCAGGTTTTGTGTCTCCCTTTCTCTCTGTCCCTCCCGGGCTCGTGCTCTGTCTCTCTCTCTCAAACATAAATTAACGTTAAAAAAAAAAAAAAAGATCCTGAAATTCTGTGATTAAGGAAGACAGTGATAATTGACACAACATGGCACAAATGCTGTGGAATTTGTAGCAAGGAGTCCCCAGAGTCAGCTGAGGCCTCCTCATGTAAATACTGATACTATTGTCCTTGTTTTTAATAAACATGTATTCTTCACCAACAGTGCTTGGTTACTTAGTGGATCTCTATCCGATGACCCCATAATTTGCTGTTTATTGACCTCAGATCATTGAAAAGGTTGAATAGAAAAAGCCACAAGCAGGCCCAGAGTGCGCCTCGGGGCCTCTTTAGGTCCCATTGCCTGTGTCAAATGGAATTGAGATGTGTGGTGTCATTTTATTTATTTTTTTGAAATATTTACGAGAGACAGAGAGGTGGGGGGGAGGGAGAGGGAGAATGTAACTAGCCAATTGTAGCACTTGAATTTATAGTTAGGTCACCATATAATACAGGTCACCAACTTGAATTTCAGACTCTCACCTTTTTAAGAAAGTCCAACCAATTGCTGAATTCCATTGTATGAGGTTAAGGGTCAAAGTCCCTCTTTTAGGAGGGTCGAGCACTTAAGATGTGGCAGACCAAGCCGAAGCCCCTAGCCCCTCGCTACCATTAATTGAGCATCTGTTATGTGCTGGATACTGAGTGAGATACTTTACATACATTATTTATAATCCTTCAAGGTAAGTAGTACTATTATCATCTTCAGATAAGAAAAAAGGCACAGAGAGATTATGTATCTTGTCCAATTTCACACAGCAAAAAACCTCAATTCATTTTTGGAAGTCAGCATAACCATAAAATTGAAACACGGTAGAAGATAGGTCAAAAATTATAGATCTCATCTCGTCTGAGTATAGATCAAAAATGCAAGATTAGAAAATAGAATGCAGCAGTATATCAAATAGATAATACACTCTCTTTCTAGGAATACAAGAATGGTTCAATAATAGGAAACATTAGGAAATCAACAGAATTCACCATATCAACAAACTGAAGGAGAGGCGTATACTAGTAGATGCTGAAAGGGTGGCTGATCAAATTCTCCTGTAATAAAACTCTAAAACAGGAATAAGAGGAACTACCTAAATTTGATAAAGACTAAAAATTGGCCACATGTGTCATTGTAAACAGTGAACCACTAAATCCAACTTTGTTAAAAGTGACGGTGGTCTATTGTTAAGTTATTTAGCTGGACTTCTGCTTCTCAAGTACTGGGCAGCCAACCAATGGAAGTACACCTCTCTTCTTCTGGGCCCCACGATGCCGTATTTATGTTGCTTGGTGCCTTTGTCTCAGACTGTCCATGTGAGAGGTAGTGCTTGCGAGGACGCATTCCTAGATTTTGGGGCTCAGAGACTTCCTGGGGCTTCAAGAGCACAAGCTCTCAGATGCCACCTCTACCAATGATGCCTTGGCCTTGTGGTTTTCATGGCGGAAGTGGAATGTGGTTTTCTGGCACAAAATCACTGCACGATACATCAAAAATATCCATATAAAGCTTTTGTACTTTACAGAGTTTGCCACAGCGTAGTGGAAGGAGAACTGCATGGGAATCCAGGAGACCTGGGTTTCTAGTGGCTCTGCCACAACCAGTTATACGTTCCCAGCCAAATCGTTTAGTCTTGCTGGGCCTCACTTGCCTCATCTGTGCCACGGGATGCTGGACTGGATGGACTACCAGTGCTCTTTGACCTCAAAGTTATAATAATCATAAACCTTACCATGTGCCTGGCACTGTTGTAAGTGGTCTGCATAGAGGTTAACTCATCACAGCAACTCTATGAGTTCAGTACTATTATGATTCCCATTTTGCCTCTGAAGAAACTGAGGCACAGAGAGCGTAAATGACTTGACCAGGGTCTCACAGATAGGAAATGATGGAGCTCTTAAATAGTTCAACTTCCATCCTTTACTTCTCTGGTTTTTCTTTACCTGGGCCCATGTTGTTCATTGTGGTGTTTGTTTTGTCCAGCGGAGTTAAGGTTGTTGAGGGTGGGAGACGCTTTTTAAGGGAAACCCAGCTCTGGGGTAGATGGATGGGAGTCACTGCCTGGGAGAATGATGGCGATGGCTGCAGAGGTTGCTAATATTTGCCCTTTTCCCTCTTCTCCTCTTTTCTTGTCTAGTCTGTGGCAAGCGCTACAAGAACCGGCCAGGACTCAGCTACCACTACGCTCACACTCACCTGGCCAGTGAGGAGGGGGATGAGGCTCAAGACCAGGAGACCCGGTCCCCGCCTAACCACAGAAATGAGAACCACAGACGTGAGTTTCCAGTTGTTGGCTGGGGTAGTGATGAAGTGGGGTGGGGCAGTGATGAATTGGGTGGGCAGGGCCGTAGAGTGTTCTCTTCACCTCTGGTATCTTTGGTGGCACCCACTGATTGGTTTCAGTGTCCTGTGGTGACTTGGCTGTTTTAGCCCAGCCCCAGCTACCCCATGGGCCATCTAAGCCCCAGGTTTAGAGTAAGCTGGGCCGGATGACGCACCCAGTTCTGTTCCCAGAGGAAGGAGATGAGCGTTAAGGTACAAGGGAAACATTCTCACCTGGCCATTGTCAAATGCCAGACCTATCCCTCTTTTCCCTCAGCTCCAGAAGTTTTGTTCACAGATACCACCCTGCCTTGGGCATAGCCCTTGGGTATGTCAATTCAGATGGACATTCTAAACATCTCCTTGGCCACCAAGAGATGTGGGATAGTCTTGATTTATTGCCTTGGCTGTTATAAGGGTCACAATTTTGGTTCAGGGCTCTCCTGTCTTAGAAAAATAGGACCCTTGAGTCTGTATGCTTTCCTTGAGCACTCCATTAGGACGCATAATCTGGGGACGCTTGTCAAAAACTCAAAATGGGGTGGCAAGATGGAATCTTTAGGCCTTGCTTAAGATATGGGTCATTCTAAGATCATTAGGTGAAGAATAATTGTGGACATGCCATGTATTTTGTATTTTGTTCACAAGATTTTGTGGTAGGTGGTCTTAAAATGAACAATTCAATGTAATTAAAGGGATCAGACCTTTAAAAATATCCAGACTCTAGGATCTGAGGGTGACTCCTGTGCATTTTAGTCAATCAACTTAGTCAACAGATGTCCATCAGCTGCCTTCACCAAATATTTGAACTAATTAACATACTTTGGCCAAGACCTTTCTTCGGATTCATGTTGGTTTTGCCTAACCCTCAACCTCCTTTCTTCCTGTAACATGGCCTTCTGTATTAGTTTGCTCGAGCTGCCGTAACAAAATACCACAGACTGGGTGGCTTAAGGAACAGAAATTAATTTTCTCGCTCTTCTGGAGGCTGCAAGTCCCAGATCAACGTGTCATCAGGACTGGTTCCCACATAGGCCTCTCTCCTTGGCTTGCAAGTGTCTGCCCTCTCACCCCCTCTTCACGTGGTGGCCCCTCTGTGTTCCTGTACCCCTGCTGTCTCTTTGTGTGCCCAAATTTCTTCTTGTAAGGATACCAGTCAGATTGAATTAGGGCCCACCCTAACTTGATCACCTCTTTAAAGGCCCTCTCCTTGAATATAGTCCTATTCTGAAGCATGAGGAGGTGGGAGTTAGGGCTTCAACAGATGCATTTTGGGGGCCCCAATTCAGCCCGTACGCCTTCTTTAATTCTTACTCATTTGCAAGATTCAAGTCTTTCATGCATGTGACCGACCTTTATTTTCTTACCTGCTGTTGTCATCTGGATAGAACCTGGAAAACCCAGCATGAGTGTCTGACAGAGCGTCTCCCCTTGCCAGCTTCTGAGTAATGCTTAGCTCTCTCTCTCTCTCTCTCTCTCTCTCTCGCTCTCTCCTCCCCAGGGAGAGGTTCCCTTGGTCCAGTCACACTCATCTTTCAGAAAGGAACATGCACAGGGCAGCTGGCATTTGCGTCTCCCCGTCTCTCCTCTTATCCCTTCTCTGATCTAAGTGGCCCAGGCGTACCTATTGTCTCCTACCGCAAGGAGGCCAAGAATGAGCTCTTTCGATTTGGGTCGCTATCTGGAAAGTATTTATTAGCCACAGTTGCTCTCTCTGAAGTATTTGTTAACTTGGTATTATTTCCCACTCCCCCCAGCGCTGGCTTATCTTCTTGACATCCCGTCTCAAATGTCAAGCCATTTTGTCCTTGTGTTGTGGTTTACTCACGCTCTAGGGTTCGGAATGCTTCTCTTTCGTCTGTGTCTCTTTTGTGTGTGTGTGCATGGTGATGGCAACAGCGGAGGAAGGTTCCTCGTGGTCCCCCCAGGTACGCTGCAGGCCCTGAGTGGATCAAGGAAATCTCTTCCTTAGCCATCCCTGCCATCTCCCCGATGCCCCCACTTGCTCGCTGTTGACTTCCAAGATGGGCACTGCCATAGTTTCCTCTGTCCACCAGGATCTCCTCGTGTACTCTTGTGAGTCGGTGTCTTCTGTCTCCTCCTGTCCTCTCTGAGAGGCCAGATGGCCATGCTTGGTCAGGAAGCTGAGTCTTTCCTCCTCCTAGATGGAGATGTGTCCACAATCTGGCTGTGCGTTCTCTCTGTGGGCTTGTCAGTGAGCCTCTTGGCTCTAACTCCCATCTACCCTTCTCCTTGACACCTGCAGGTGACAAACTGAGTCCTTCAAAAAGGGTCATCTGACTACCCAAGGGTTTTAAGCTGCATAAAAAAGAGTAGCTGTCCCTAGGCTCATCTGGGGCCTCCTTACACGAGGAAGGTTCCAGAACCACAAACACCTTTTCAACAACATCTCTTCACAATGCCTCTGAGAATTCCGTGATTAAATCCAGTTTTGCTAGCGAGGAGGAGGAGGGTGTGGCGGGAAGGCCCTTACTGTCCACAGAAGCCATCCCTTCCCTCTTCTCCAATTTCTCTGAAGAAATCTAAGAGGCAGCAGCTCTTCCCAGGTTCTTTGCACCACGCACGCCACCAATCTGTTTGCTGCTCCGAATGTCTGCTCTGTTCCCTCCCACATTCCCCTGGTGAGCAGCCCCCCAACCACTTTCCCGTGAGCACTAATTGCCAGCATCGTTAATACCCAGTCATTAGCTGCTCCCACTGTTTGGGGGTGGGGGTGGGCTCCCATCCATCCTGCCCCTAAATGCCACTGGGGCTGTGTGGTGAATTGAACGTGACAGTGTCTGAGGTCTCAGCTTTGTGATCCTCCCTTGGCGAGGCTTTTGGAGTGGGGGAGGGAGGCAGGAGAGTTTAATCCAAGAGGCTAATCTATAGATCCCCTAGGAAAAGTTCTGGATGCCAGCGAAGTGGGAATGCTGACTTTTCCCTCTTTAGCAGAACTGCAGGGTGGCCCAGCTGCTTGTGAGCACACACAGGCCTGTGGGGAAAACAGCCCTACAGACTCCGGAGTTTTCTGTGGCATGGGCATCTGCGTTTGTACCACCTGCAGCGGTAGAGACCTTTTGACTTTGGTCCACCTGCCGTCCCTTGCCGCACCCCCTGACTGTGTCTCCAGCCAAGCCATTGCTCATGCCTGTGCCTGCCGCTGCTGAAAGGGCAGAGCGGAGTGCTGGAGCCAGCACTGACCTCCCCTCACCCCCCAGCCCCCAGCTGCCCTGTGCTGCCAGCTCAGCAATTGACTGCCCCCCACCCCCCACCGGCTGATGTTCTCTCGCCTTTGTTCCTCTCCTAGTCGCTCATTTTCTCCTGAGTATACACTTCTTGTCTCTTCTCTAGGTTTGTCCCCTTTCCTTCATGCCTTTGTCTCTCTGCCCCAACTATAGGTAGCCCTGAGATGCTTGGAGCTCCAACATTCACCTTGGCACGTAGTACTTTTCTGTTGGGGTCTTCCCCGCCTAAGCGGCCCCCCCTTCCCCTCCCCATGTGAGGTTGGATTCTTCTTTCTTCTTGCATTTCTTTGATCACCCCCGTCTGCTTTCTAAAACCGAGATCACTGTGTGTATGTATGTGTGTGTGCACATATGTGCGTGTACATACAGGTACACACGCACACAGACTACATGTATATGAGTACAAGGAGGGAGTGCTTGGGCAGGTTGGGATTCCACGTGGTGCCACTCAGAGGCATTCTTTTGTGGGGGCGCCTGGGTGGCTCAGTGAGTTAAGTGTCCGACTCTTGATTTTGGCTCAGGTCATGATCTCGCAGTTTGTGAGTTCAAGCCCCGTATCGGGCTCTGTGCTGACAGCATGGAGCCCACTTGGGATTCTCTTTCTCCTTCTCTCTCTGCCCTCCCCCACTCATGCTCTCTTTCTCTCAAAATAAATAAATAAACTTAAAAAAAAAAAAAAGAGAAGCATTCTCTTTTGACTTGTGAAAGGTACCTGGGTAAACAGCCCCAGTGGGGCCAGGGTAGCAGAGAGCACTGGATTAGAATTCAAAACTCTTTTGACCCATGCTCACAATATCAAAACTCTTCTTGACTTTCCTTTTATCTTCTATGCAGAGTGAGAATCTACTAAAGATGATGTTTTCAAGGTACTTTTCTGTGAGGTGGGGTGGGGGTGGGCATTTACGAGGCTCTGGATTCGAATGGAAACGCTGTAAATAACTACATTCCATCTAATACATTCTTCTGTCTGTCCATCCATCCATCTATCCATCTATCCATCTATTCATTGGTTTAGTATCGCTGTGCTAAATACTGTCTTAATCCCTGTCCTCGAGAGCTCACAGTCTTGTGCAGGAGTGTGTAATGGAGTACATATAGAATTGTGAAGGGCAGAAGGTCAAGGGCACAGTACACTTTCTACCCCTTACGGCAGTGGTGCTCCAGGTGTGGCATCAGCATCACCTGGGAACTTGTTGGAAATTCAGATTCTTGACTCCAGGAGACCTGAAATAGAGACTCTGAGGGTGGGGCTCATGATCTGTGTTTTGGAGAGCCCTCCAGGGCATTCTGGTGCCCACAAAAGCTTGAGAACCACTGCATTAGGGGCTTTGCAAACGCTTTGCTGAGAAGGTGACATTCAAGTTAGCTCTGGGAGAATGAAGAGGAATTTCCCAGGATGGGGAGAGGGCTTCCCAGGTAGAGGCAAAGGCAGGGGGCATGAAATAGCATGATGCCTCAGACAAGGGGTAGTAGTCTGCTCTGACAGTGGCATTGGAAGAACGGTGGGAAAGTGAGCGGGAGCCACCATTGGACGTGACTTCTATGCCAAGCTGTGTAGCTGTCATCCTGTATGAAAAGGAGAGCCACAGTAGCAATTACTAGAAGGCAAGGACAAATGATTTATAAAAAAATTTTGTTTGGCATATTATTAATTGTCACATGGAACATCTCTTTTACCTAATAGCGTAAATGAGTATAAAATGTT